GGCGACTGCAGGCTGAGAGGGCGACGGCCGAGGGGCCCCTCCAGCCCCGGAACGGCACCAAGCCTGCTCTTAGAGGGTATAAATATAAAATACGTTCTCGGGCTGCAGACCCGAGCGGCACGTAGCATGCAATTAGAGGCTATTTTAGAAAGGGAGATGTAAACAAAGAGGCTTAAACAAAGAGGCTTTACTCTCCCTTCACCTCGCAGATGAATAAATGCATTTAGGAAAATTAATACAGGAGAGGCGGACGGCAGAGCCCTCCATAACCTGCCTTCCGCTAAGAAATTCCTGTTTCACCCAGCAGCTGGCTCACAGTTTATCACTTTTCTCTGGCTTTTCCCCTTCCACCGAGACCAGCAGGACCTTTGCTCTCCCAGGAACGGGGAGAAGCGTTGCTCAGCTCGGGGGCAAATCAGGATTCGGAACTGAAGACCCCAAAATCTCCCAGTTTTGGTGAGCGACACTGTTTTTGAGCATCTGGGGCAGGCAGGCGGCTCATCTTTTCCCCCCGCAGCCCCGGGGCAAGGCTAGGGAATGCACAAACAAGCCAGAGAAACACGAGGCCCTTGGGCAGGGAAAGATGTCCTGCGTGCGAGGGCAAGCCAACATTATGGGTTTGGTATGAAAATTGCAGTTTATTTGAAGGCAGGGTGGCTGGGGACAATAGAGCGTTTCGAAGCAGTCACTTCTCTGCCCCAAGGGTCCGTGGCTCTCGGCTACGAGGGGCCCCGAGTTCCACCAGCAGCGCAAAGGAGCGGCCATCCGCCCCACGAGCAGGAGCTCACGCCGTCTGGCCCCGGCGTATTTTTATAAAGCTCCAGAACTAGCCATTTCAAGGCTCATTTAAGATCTGCGTCCCAGGCAGGCTGCTGAACGTTAAAAATAACGAGATCCCTCCCTGCGCAAACCCAGCCTGCGGGCGAGAGAGTAAACACGGCCGCGGCCAGCAGCGGGGGAAGCTCGGGTTTGCCGAGCGGAGAACAACGTGCTCCGAGGTCGGGGTGGCCGTACCCGGCGGCGGCAGGGGAAAGAGGGACAGCGGTTCCCGCGCGTGCTCTCCCGCATCACCACTTGCCCCACGGAAACGCAACGCTGCGAAGCCCAGGCTGGATGGTAACGTCCATCGCTCACCGGTGCTTGCAGGACGCCCATCGCACGGGAGCAGAGGGAGCCCATCTGGCTTTACCTTGCCCAGCAGATCTGGTGA